CAATGGATAGCCGCAGGTGCGTCGACGGCCAACAGGGCACCCTAAAGCAGCTGTTAGAAGGAAACTTGCTTGCGACAACGAACATCACTTTTGCCGCAGAAGCCAACATCACCTAAGTCATCCTGAGAAGCCAAAGCGTAATGCATCATTAATCTGGGTGATCGGTCCTTGACCCTGTTACTGCAGATGACAGTAACAGCACCAAGTTGGAATTAATTCGTAAATTTGATTAGCGATAAGTGGGAATTAAGTCAGACTGAAATTTAATGCTATATTTTATTGAACCATTTAGCTAGATGGCCACGCAGCAATAATACATACGTGTATTTAGTCTATTCCATACGAAAAATATTGTTTTAGAAATTGATATACAATGAATAAAATAAGAAAAGAAAACATTTGACTGCAAAATTGAAATTAAAAGTGATTAATTTAAAATTTGGAGTGCCCATCGCACGTTTTTGTGATGAAACAGACTTGTGCCACGAGTGAAGTATGCATATTCAATGAATAATAGAGCAATATGTATTGAACATGTTTTGATTTGGAGGTAAATCAGGTGCTTCAAAATTATTTAACAGAACCGTGGTTTTATATACACTCTGTTTTACGAACTTTTCGATTTTCCAGACATCGTCTTCTCTCAATTAGTTTGTTAAATTTGGGATATGTTGTATTCCTTTCGTACCTTAAATTATGCTGAATCTTCTCGAGTCTTGTCACACAATAATCTTTCGGATGCGACGGATTTCTGCTGCGTTTGTCGGCAACTTTGCATTTTCAGTCAGCATCGAGCGATCATGGCCATTAGTGAGACTTTAGACAGTATTAACAAAATTAAAACGTTATTGACAAAATAAAACCTGGATGTTCTGGGAGTGCTTTCGATACCTCCGCTGAACATGTCACATTAAAAATAATGATACCGGCTTGAGACGGTGAAAATGCTCAATGTAAAGAAAGAAAAATCTATTTCTAACTTTACACCAGCAGCTCTGTTGCTCCGCCCCTTGCTTTTAGACGCCTAGGGGATTTTTGCGGGTCACGGCTCCATGGTATTACTGTTCAGCTCTTTCTTCCTCATCACACACTGTCACTTAATAATCTGCTCAAATGACAGTACGATACGATAATTTATGTACCCTAACCAATTGGTTGTATGGTCAAGGTTATAGTTTCTGTTGCAAGATAGTATTGCACTTTGTTTTTACAGAAGGAACAGAATTTAACTGTTGAAGCTGCTGCTGAAATAAGTGAAGCGTCAGTGACCGATCATGTCATAAACAGAATAAACTGCTACTGTTAAGTGTCATACTCGCAGGACTAGTATTGTATCACATACCTACGGAAGCACACATGAACGGTGCCACTGAAAAATTCGGTTGTTGAAACTTAATTGAACTTGAGGCAATTATCCAATGAGATAATTGCAGTTGTGATTTCATGAATCATCACTGAACTATGCGTTATTTTAAGGGAACTAGACGATGTCTGCCACACGACAAAGCTGCGAGATTCGGAATTGGTCCCGCGAAACATTACCGGTGGTGGTGGTAAGTGTCGTTGTTGCTATCTGTTATTATTATTAAATTATTCTATCAGCATATCAGTCTGTATTACTGATGGTTATGGTGTTGTTCCGTATATTCAAACGATTGAAAATTTTCATTTATAATTATCGTTTGCTGCAGGTTGCAACAGGGCTGCCGAGACGACCACCACGACGCAGGACGCTCAACCACCCCACTACTTTCTTGCAATGAACAAGTCGTCCCAGGTAGTGGAATATTGCGGCAGGTGATCGCGGTCTGAAACCCTGTTTTATACTTCTAGTTCATTCGAGACGTAAGCCTAAGCGACGCATTTCAAAAACTCGACTTCATCTCCGCGATATCCGATGTACGGCGCTTTAACTATGTATCGAAGGTGAGAAAAGATTTGCTTACATCTGTTAACAGTTTCTTGATTCTTGGCTTCTTCATACTCGTTTTACTATTCGCTACTGCTCTCTCCGCTAACCAATGGTAAATGATACTGCCAACAATTGTAGCTGAATGCTTGGAAATCGATTAGATGTAATACATATTGCAAACAATGCCATAACTTGTAGAAAAAGCGGTAAAGTCAAAGTGAACATTGAAGCTTCTCGAAAAATTGCCTTTTGCTATCGATATCCTGCCGGTAACCCAGTATTCGTAGAAGGAAAACACGCACAAGTTGTTGGTACATCATGAAAACTAATTGCCTAGAAGATTTGGACATGACAGTCCCAAAATCTACGAATCAGAGTGAAGTACGCGCAAGCCTCTTCAGCTAGGCGGTATGACCAGCAGTGATATGCAGATGTGAAACATGATCTGCAGGTGAAGCATTCGGCATTGACGAAGAAGGTGATGGAAAGCAGGGGTGGACAGAGGATTTAGACCGACTCCGCAGTGAAATCTTGAGACACCTGAGTGCGGTAAAAGTTGTTTACGTAGAAAGCACAGGCAGTAAACAACATCGGATTGTTTATACATCCTTTGTATCATATGATAGATAAACAATGGCCTTAACGAATTTATGACGAAGAAACCTAAAAAAAGCCGCATATCAGACTTGGGAAGACTCTGCGGCAAGACTGGAAGCTTGGGCATTGAAGTTCAAAACCAAAAAAAGAACAAACGTGGGCTCATGAACGAAATGTGAAGGTGTTGAGCAAATATCTTTATCAGATTTCTTTCTTATGGTAAGTGTAATTCATGCTTCGAACTAAGCTGCTTATGGAATATCACCAGCAGAAAGTTCTCTTTTGTCCAGAACCGAAATTCAGACATCCAGTATATGATCATGGAAGATTTGTTACTGTCGCAAGTCGGTCTCTTTTTGATTAATCAGCTCACCGCTGCTTCGGGATTTAGTACTCTACCGGTCAATTTCACTCAGAGGTTGACTGAGACTTTGATTAACTCAGTCACTGATCAGAAAAGCCTTTGTAAAACACTGCTCACATAACATTTAAATGAACATAAATCAAAAAGACGCTTGTTTTGTCACATAGGTTAAGATGAATATGAACTTTAGAGATGTTTCCATCAAACGTTGCTAGTCATCTTCAGTCAGACACTGGAAGATTAAGCATTTACTCTGTCTTTTCTTTAGTTTTCTAAGAGTTGAGCAGTCGGTAGCTTCCTCCGCTTCATTCTGCCATTTATTCCATGCTTCGATTCCAGATTTCTAAAATGTTGTCCTTCGCATTCTCCCTCACCATTTTGTTGATATGCTAGAATTTGCAGTTTTTTTGTAAACTGAACACACGTCAACATGAATCTTGCTTTGCTTGTTTGCTGTAGATCTCAAATTGCTGATTTTTGTAGGTGGTCGAAATACTTGTTAAAAACAAGCTGGTCAACCTCAGTGGCTCCGGACGCAAAATTCTTCTTTCTTTGATCGAAAGGCTTACGGAGCATTGTAAGATTCTGTGCATATGCTATGTAGTGATGTTTATCAGAAAGAGTGTGCGTTTGATAATCACCGTGCATCCCCAGACGGTCCATTCCTTCATTTAATGTTTTCAAACGCTACGTTTATGCAAATGTGAATTCAAAAATGAGGCCTCTGAAAACATTTTAATGATTTTTCTGTAATTATCCGTGATAACTTTTTGGCTTTGATCCGACTCTAATTATTTTCTATCTTCTTTTTAGGTAGACAGCTCTGCATTAAAGGTGCATGTTATGCCCGATTTTGCGTCGCATATTTTTTGCACCGTCCTCTCTTCTAAAAGCCTAAAGCCGCATGTGATTGTAACAGGCATCATCTAATTTAAAAAACTAATTTTCGCTAGTAAATTCATTTTTTAAATTGTTCACTGATATGGACGTTTACTAATTAAATATGTTTTGCATGATACTTGGAACATGTTGCTATTCGACACAGCTCAGTAATACAGTTTTGTATTCATTCATACTGGGTGATATGAGGCTCTGGAGTCGTGATCTGCCTGAAAGTCCCCCTCTGCTTCAGGACTGGCAGCTCGAGGACGGTGCGATTATTCAGTGTGAATCTGAGAAACGTGCCGCCGGTGGTTACGAAGATGAACTCTTGTCCAGAAATCCAGTTCACCAACTAGCTAACATCTGTATATGTACTTCCGGGTACGGAAGTAATCAGTTGTTTTTTTTTCCTTTTTCTCTTCCTCCTCATTGACGTCATCATTATGAGGCAGGCGTAATCAGCGAAAGATCGTTGCTCCAACTAGAAATGTGCTCTCCAGGTGTAGCGTAGGCAGTTAACGCCTTTTAAGCATAGCCGTGTTTACGTCTGACTGGCCTGACGCAGTTGTTTATCAGTCGATCTCCGTCTTTCCTACGTTTCTGATCTTATATTTTTTACATGTATTTCAATTCATTTTAGTTCATTTTCGTATATTTTATTAAAAGTATTTTTTCCTTTCATTTTTTGCCAGGAATGGAGCAAAGTACTGCTCGTTTGAGGGACATCTACACTCCGTTGCATGACATGAAGTGTCATATACTTTCACTGTTGTATTTTCTTGAATGGCAGTTTCATCATCGATGAGGCGTACTGTCTGATCCTAAGTTTCAGACTGACAAGCACGTACTTCAGTTTAATTTTAATATTTTATTTGTCTCTCTTTATATGCTGTAACTATATGCAATGAAACCCCTTAATAAATTTTTCAGGTTTTGATTTCTTGGAGCAGTTTAGCATAACCTCACTTTGTGAAAACCGCAATATGGCCTAAGGAATGTTCTCCCTGAAATTCATTCTGTAGCTGATATCTTATACTGTAAGCGTATCTGTTTGCCACCCGTTGTGTAAAACAAAAGGCATAAGTTTCAGAGGTAAGTACGCCACCAGTCAGACCTAAGAGTACAGTACTTTTCGCAGCTGTCGGCTGTTAGCAATCTTTCGAACCCTGTTTTGCAAGGTACCATTCAAGGAAGAATGCCGGTAGGATTCTCACAGAAAGCCTGACATCAAAACTTAACTGGTTGTACTAGGAAACGAACAGACCATCTTTTATGTCTGGACGAACGCGACTACCGGTAGAAATTCTTTCCTTCGCAGTTCTTGTGTTGAAGGCACTTCGAGTAGTCTAATATGCGACGTGATGACCACAAAGAATTATTCCGTTCACTTGCCGTTGGAGTAGTTGCTTTAGTTGATATATCTAGTGGATGGGTCTGGAACAGCGACCGAAGGATCAAGTCATTGTAAATGCATTCATTACTCAACCACGTTGCCAGCAGTTTTTAACGGGTTGGTGTCATGTTCTGATCGAATACAGCTATCAAATGGGTTTAGTAGCATTGCGGTTTTAAGGGATCTTTCAGACAGAACAGCTGAAACCTTTAAGCTCTGGTTTAACCGTATCACAATCCCGCGATGTACCTATTGTTAGCAGGTGCTTACTAACATACTTACTAGTCGTTTCTCAGCTGGTTCTCCCCTGGGCTCTTTCCGGCAAATGTTTTTTCATGGAAGATTTACACCAGATTTCGAGCCGGCGCAGCCTTTTTACCATCTTATTTTTCGTTCACTATATTCTGGGTACTTTTTCTCCCGTTTGCATCATGTTTCCAATTGTTCTTGACTAATTATGTTTTGACTCTTACAAGGACCAAATATTGGGTTCGCTTCTGGTCACACCGAAAGATCTCATTCGTCTGGTGATGGCATTTGTCGTAGTGTAATGTTTAGTACACAAAGCGAGAACAACCCAGTGTGGAGTGTCTTACGTAGTGTCCTGCATCCTACCTTATGCACATGCTGTTGTTAAGATGCCTTAAAATTGATCTTCCTTCAGCACAGAGGTGGGAAAAAATAAAACAGAAGCTAACCAGAATAACGTTTGAAAAAACGTTAAGCGTCGATGTAATGCTGTGATTTTCAGGTTTAAGAAACTACGTACAGCTTTATACGTTACGATCACTCATCGCAGATCTCACTGACGGATTGAACAAAGGTCACCACTACGGCTCTGAGAAATTGCTGGCGATTCATCAGAGCGTTGTTCGACATCTGGTCAGTGTCGTTTGCGATGTGTCCATGTCGGCACATAACACGGTAAGTTTAGTAGTGTCGTTCACCTGAGGAGTAAGTGTGGGGGACTGAAAAGACATGCTAGAATCAAAAAATTATTATGTTTAGATGATTGACAAAGCGGGTTAAGGTGTATAGGCTGAAGGTAAGTAAAATGAGGTTCTTCGATGTCTCAAGGAGTACTATAGATTTCAGTTGAGCATGTCTATTCCTGTGTGACTGTATACGTGTGATCGTTTAGCACACCCGCTGCTCTTACAACTGCGTGCGATTGCTCGACCTGCCCGTCGATTGTCTCTTGGCCGTACTGTCTCGTCTGTCTGACCATAACAGTCTGATGAACGTCGCCGACGCACATCACTCTCTGTGGACGCTGGTGTCCATGCAGTGCCAGCTCTGGCGCCGTCTTTGCTGCTTTCACTTTACGCAGCAGCAGATCGCTTGGGCGCTAGATCGAAATTCTGAGCGGCCAGGTTGCACGAAGGCTGCGCTGTGGCGCTCTGTCTATTTCGATCTCAAAAAGTGGGTGGTATATGTGTTATGAGCGAAATGTGATCAGTAGAATAACAGTTGATCGTTGTCGAAAAGCTTTTCAGCAGTTAATGCCGTTTGTCTTCTTAGCTCATGATTACTCACCTCTCACCTTCCATAAGTGCGACCTCTGGTCCATGTGACGGTAAGTGGTCAAAGACCAGATTAATCCATCATTCAGCCACTGACAGATTTCCTCTTTCGAAGTTCTGACACTATATCGGCACAGAATCAGGAATGTTGCAGACATCGTCTGATGCTCCTGCCTCTGCGACGCGGAAGGAATAGCCGCCATCGACCATCAAAGTTCACTCTCTGACTTGCCTTGACCAGTTTATGCAACAACTGTTTATTTATTCTTCTAAGCGTTAAAGTGGGTTAATATTTACAGCAGAAAGTAGCAAAAAATTGCAATGAAGAATAGCAAACTAGAAGTAATTTGACATGCCTATCTCGGATATAGATTTCTCTGGTAGTGCATACAGCAAGTCTGAATTCTTCGGGAAAGAGGTAGTTACTACTGTCTGTGAGAAGCCTGATTTGTATTTCTCCAGATTTTCTAACATGCCAATTCTCTGTGGTACTATACCAGTTTTATGAAGTACTTTGGTGACTGTTTGCTCTACTGATTTTGAAACCGCTAACTATATAAACGTATATCATGAATTAAAACCGCAATACAGCGGACTCTACGTAACTGTTGTGATAATCTTGATCAGAAATCGATCACGGCTGTTCAGCTTGTGGTCATTCCATTAGCGCTTTTTGCATCCCAGTTGTCTGTTATAAGGATCATCATCTGCAGGGCGAAACTGTAAAGGTTTTTGACCAGGATGGCCTTCTCTTCGTTCGTTCGACCGCCTAATCTCAAAAACGAGACATCCCATTTTTAAAGCAGGGTCGCGATTCTGCTAATGGGGCTAAAATTTGAGAATTTACATAACAAGCCTTGGAAACCATGCGTAGACTCTTTAATAGCCAGTGGATTGATTGATTCTTCCTACTTCGACATAAGATCCTTTATTTTGACTTTGCGTTCGTTTCCGTGCGGATAACAAGTTGTCTGCTTATAAGATGTCACTAAGCTGTATAACATTAAAACGAGGTCAGACATCGCAAGGTCAGTCAAGCGTTACTGCCTAATTTTGTTCGTCGATCGTCATTATTCCTTTTGATCAGCTAGCATTTAGATATTTTGGCCTGAAAGAACTCTACGCTGACATGATTCACGTTTGCCGTCAATGCAAGGCTCTTTATTGGAAGGTAAGCATTTTCATTGTCAAGCCTTAGAGAACGTCAGACATTCTTTGATAGCTACATATTTTTTTTATTGTGGTCTGAAGTGGGAACAGGGGCACCGTGAATGTAGCTGCTCTTCAGTTTGAAAGTACTAATTTTGTGTAAAACTGTATCATGAACTGTTCATTCACTTGAACAATGGATTTACTCCGTTGTTCGATTTAAACTGAAATGGACACATTTTCCCTCCGAATTCAGTACATAGACCTGTAACAACGCCTATCCTTTCACCTGTTGCATCTTAAGCTGGAGGATTGCCATTTTTTCGCTGACAAGCTTCCATTCATTGACTCTGTCAGCCATTTTTGGTTCTAAGACAGTACCAACACCGACCTCAGTGCAGGTTGTGATGTCGACACCTGAGTTTAAATAGCTTCTACTCGCAGAGGTTCAGAATTCCAAGGCTTTCACGCTTCGTTGACGAGAGTTCAACTATATCGAGTTGGTACTTTGCGGCCTCCTTAACTAGCTACGCTACTGCTCTTTCTTTCTGAGTGAGGATATATTACAATTTCTGACTGTAAGCTCCCTCTGTCGATGTCGTTTTCGTGGAGCCTTATCTGACGTGCTGTAATTTCATCGCGCAGTTTGTGTCCTTCGTGCGGAATGGATAGCGACTCCCCTACTGACTGGTATGTTTGTCATTTTTTTGTGGATCTTCTGCAGCTGTCGCCATGCTGCTCCGCTCAAGCTATAAGAAGGTTCAAACAAGTTCTGATCGTTTATTTTTCACAGTCTGCCTCATTTCTCCAACGATATGTTCAGCCCTTGTTAACCCGGTTGACGAATAATTGTCTCGATTCCGTCCGTTCTCCTTTCTCATGCTGTCTTGGGACCCATATTGGTGGAATCAAAATAGTATAGTATATCATGATAATGCAGTGATGATAAATTAATATTATATTATGTACTCCAGTCTGCCTAGCTGCTAGCAGTATATCATGTTATATACGTCAGTACGTTAT